GAGACAGGATGTCTGGTCATGATCGATCGTATTGAAGACACTTCACTGGGTTTTGACAAGAAACTCAAGATGCCCAGCAGGAGCACTAGACCAGATATGACAACTTCAGCAGCTGATCTTCTTTCATACACAACATAAATTAAAAGATATTGTTTAACATCGAAATTGTAAGATGGTTCCACCATGATTGATATTATTCATATGCTGTCAGTAAAAAATAGATTGTTCAAAACAGAATGCCTAAATTGACCTCTCTATGAATGATATTATTGATACAGCTGAAAAATACAGTGCAATGTTGATGGTTCTAAATTGGCTTCTCTATGACCAATATTATTAAATCAATATTATTAGGCTAAAAATATAGTTTTATGCCAGTGCACCTCAATTGGTTAGAATTCAATCAATTGTATTGAGACAATATCATTAAACCAAAATATATTGAACAAAAATTCAGCATCCACAATTTCTGCTACATAGTTTATATCACTTATACAATTACAATAAATTGAAAATATTGATCGGGAAGGCTACTTTAAAAATATCTCTAATATGAACAATTTTACTAAAGCGTTATCACAAAGTTAAAATACTCTGTATTATTAGAATTATACATAACTGTATTCTGTTAGTGATATTTACATTCATTCCTGACCACTAACAATTCCTCTTTTGCTCTTATTTGTTATGCATTTCTAAAGTAAATTCATTAGTAATGCATTTCTATAATAATGTTTATAGTTTTCTGTCAGTAATGCATGCATTAATTCCTTATGACTAATAAGCCATTTCTATTCTTATTTTTTATATATTTCTACAGTAATTTCTAAAGAATTAATGAATTTATTTTTTATCCAGCATTTTAAAGTCTGGGGTATGACAATAAACTACATCAGGCAGTTAAGGATCCTGATCAGCCTGAAACCACCTCTTAATTACAGTTGTTCCAAGGTCCACCCTCACCTGGGGTGGTAGCACCTGTTAGGGTCCCAGCTATGGGCAAATAGTGAACTCACAAACAAAAATATGACTATGAAAGTATAAAAATACATTTTTAGAGTAAAAATATCAGCAACACATTTTTATATATATAAAAAAATACCAACTGTACCTATTTATAGTAAAATCACCAACAATACATTTTATCTGTAGTTGAATAAGATTGTGTTCAAAATATTTAAATTTTAGCATTAAACATAGAGGTGTTGATATGCCACTAAACAAAATCAACCAATCTATACAGTTTATACTTGGAAAATGCTATAATGTTGCAAAATAAAACAAACCAAACCAAAAATATAATTAAAAAAAATATAACCATAATAGCATACTTACTATTGAAAAAAAATGTCACTGTTTAAATATGACTGCTTTATGTAGGAAAAAAAACATTAAATTTTGGCATTAAATGACCCACTGTGTTGACATGCTGTAAAACAAACCAAACCAAACCAACATTTTTACTACTTCAAACATTATTATAGTGGATACTTGTATTTGAAATAGATGCACCATTTTTATTTATTAAAAAGTGCATATTATGTCTGTTTGTCTTCATGCACTCCCCTGGCAGGGATTGAACACACATCCTCCTTTGTAGAGGAACTCACTTTTTGATCCAGTGTGCATTACCATTCAACCACAAAAAATGGAAAATAGAATATTTTTTGCTCCTTATGGCCTAGTGGTAAAACATGCCAGATCAAACAGTGGTTACCCCACAAAGAGGGATGCAGGTTTGATCCCTGCTGGGGTGTGACTTTTCTTTACTAAGATTTCTTGAATGTACAAACTGATAGACATAATAATACACACTGTTTAATAAATAAAAATGGTGTTTCTATTTCAGATATGAAGTATCCACTATAACAACGTTTGAAGTAATTAAAATGAAGTAAATAAAATGCTGGATTAAGAATAAATTCATTAATTCTTTAGAAATTGCTTTGTTTACATTTCAAGTAAGAAACAGCATAAATTATGCTTTCAAAAAAATAATCTCAGTGAAGAGATGGGCTTTTCTTAAAAAGGGAAAACAGAACTTTGCTCAAACCAATAGATGTAATAATGCACACGGTTGAATAAATAATACAGGACTTCTATTTCAAATACAAAGTATTCACTATAATAACGTTATAATAAAAATGTCAGGTGAAAACATTTCTACAGTAAAATCATTTACTGTGTCTTTCTATGTGAAAATTACTGGCAGTTAATTTCTGAGTAAATGCTTAAATATTACACACTAGCTGATTTAAGTGTCTATGCTGGGCAAGCAGTCAAGAATGTAGCTGATTATGATTACAGAATAATAATGGTGATCTGCTAAGATTCTGCCACAGTCAAGTTTGGAAAACTACTGGATATATACTGCCCTGTGAAGTAGTTCCACAGAACTTCTATTACGAAGAAAGATAAGAAATGTATAACTGAAAAATACCTACTTTTACAGTTATTATCATTATTTATGCACATGTATAGAAACTGTTTAAAAGTGATTCTATTTCTTCTATGGGCAATCATGTCATTGACACAATTTCCTGGTTTTTGTAACTCTTAATAAATCTTGTCTTTTTGCTATCTCTCCTAATCCCTGTTCTGTCAACCATTTACATAAGCTCATTAGGTAAATTATGCACTGCTTTTCTCTGTCCCCGTTTTCATCAATCTGTCCTGTGAGTGACAAATTTTTCAAACCTTCTTTTCTCATTATGTGACCTAGAAATTTCAACACTATCTTTGTGATGTTAAGTTTAAGTATCCTTTCTGTTTACATTTTCTATAAAACTCTTTTGTTAAGTCTGTGGTATTCTCAGTATCCTTCTGTTGAACAATATTTCTGTTGCCTCAAGTCTCTTCTTCATCTGTGAGCAAATTGTCCAGTGTTCACACTCATATAGGAAGACTGATATTACATAAAATTTAAGTACTTTTTTCTTTATTTCTAACAAAATTTTCATCAATTTTAACACTTTGCTAGCTTTTAGAAGTCATCTTCCACTATCACAACGTGTGTTTGGAATTCAGTGTTGTACTTTCTGTCTTCTGATAAAGCATTTTCTTGATATTTAAATTTTTGTACTTTCTTGATTTTGGCATCAAGGAAAATGGAAACAAAATGACTCAGCCCTGTACAGCAAACAAATAAACAAGATTTCTAATACACACACATACACATACATACATACATATATATATATATATATATATATATGATAAAAATATAGTTTTAATGTATGCTATATTTATGTGTAAAATTGCTCAAAATCAGAGTGGATATAAATATGAAAGTGGACACTGAGGTTAACACCAAGCAGCGACAGTCTGTTTCATGCTTCAAT